GGTGCACTAAACTATCAAGTAGTCATCATTTTGAGCTAGCCAAACGTTCATAACGTTTGCATCTGCTCCTACAATAGGTCTGTCACCTAGCGCTGCATCAAGGACATAATTCTTCTATGCAGCAATGACGATAAACCTCAAATCACGAACACAGTCCGCATCATTGCTACTATCTTCTTTCAACTTAGTTTTCTGTAGGAACACATATAAAAACATAGGGAAGCAACAACGCGAGCTATTGATCTACAACATAATTTGCAAAATACTACCAGGACTAAGTTCATGATAAATTAAAGTTCAATTAATCATATTACTTAAGAACTCCCACTTAGATAGACATCCCTCTAATCATCTAAGTGATCACGTGATCCAAATCAACTAAACCATGTCCGATCATCACGTGAGATGGAGTAGTTTTCAATGGTGAACATCACTATGTTGATCATATCTACTATATGATTCAAGCTCGACCTTTCGGTCTCCAGTGTTCCGAGGCCATATCTGTATATGCTAGGATCGTCAAGTTAACCTGAGTATTCCACATGTGCAACTATTTTGCACCCGTTGTATTTGAACGTAGAGCCTATCACACCCGATCATCACGTGGTGTCTCAGCACGAAGAACTTTCGCAACGGTGCATACTCAGGAAGAATACTTATACCTTGAAATTTAGTGAGAGATCATCTTATAATGCTACCGTCAAAATAAGAAAAATAAGATGTATAAAAGATAAACATCACATGCAATTAAAATATGTGACATGATATGTCCATCATCTTCTTGTGCCTATGATCTTCATCTACAAAGTACCGTTATGATCTCCATTTTCACCGGCATGACACCATGATCTCCATCATCTTGATCTTGTCGTCACATGGTCATCTCGCCAATTATTGCTTTTGCAATTATTGCTATCACATAGCGATAAAGTAAAGCAATCATATAGCGCTTGCATCTTATGCAATAAAGAGACAACCATAAGGCTTCTGCTAGTTGTCGATAACTTTGATACAAAACATGATCATCTCATACAATAAATTTTAGCATCATGTCTTGACCATATCACATCACAACATGCCCTGCAAAAACAAGTTAGATGTCCTCTACGTTGTTGTTGCAAGTTTTACGTGGCTGCTACGGGCTGAGCAAGAACCGTTCTTACCTACGCATCAAAACCACAACGATAGTTCGTCAAGTTAGTACTGTTTTAACCTTCTCAAGGACCGGGCGTAGCCACACTGGGTTTAACTAAAGTTGGAGAAACTGACACCCGCCAGCCACCTAGGTGCAAAGCATGTCCGTAGAACCAGTCCCGCGTAAGCGTACACGTAATGTCGGTCCGGTCCGCTTCATCCAACAATACCGCCGAACCAAAGTATGACATGCTGGTAATCATTATGACTTGTATCGCCCAAAACTCACTTGTATTCTACTCGTGCATATAACATCTACGAATAAAACCAGGCTCATATGCCACTGTTGGGGAACGCAGTAATTTCAAAAAAAAATCTACGCACACGCAAGATCATGGTGATGCATAGCAACTAGAGGGGAGAGTGTTGTGCACGTACCCTCGTAGACCGAAAGCGGAAGCATTAGCACAACGCGGTTGATGTAGTCGTACGTCTTCACGATCCGACCAATCCAAGTACCGAATGTACGACACCTCCGAGTTCAGCAGACGTTTAGCTCGATGACGTCCCATGAACTCCGATCCAACAGAGCTTTGCGGGAGAGTTCCGTCAGCACGACGGCGTGATGACGGTGTTGATGATGCTACCGACGCAGGGCTTCGCCTAAGCACCGCTACAATATTACCGAGGTGGAATATGATGGAGGGGGCACCACACACGGCTAAGAGATTAATGATCAATTGTTGTGTCTATGGGATGCCCCTTGCCTCAGTATATAAAGGAGGAGAGGAGGGGAGGGGCCGGCCCTCTCTATGGTGCGCCCTGGGGAGTCCTACTCCCACCGGGAGTAGGATTCCCCCCTTCCATATGTAGTAGGAGTAGGAGTCAAGGAAAGGGAAAAGAGAAGAGAAGGAAGGAGGGGGCGCAGCCCCTCCCCCTAGTCAAATTTGGACTAGGCCTAGGGGGGGGGGCGCAGCCTCCCCTCTCTCTTTCCCCTAAAGCCCAATAAGGCCCATGTACTCCCCGGCGAATTCCCGTAACTCTCCGGTACTCCGATAAATACCCGAATCACTCAAAACCTTTCCGATGTCCAAATATAGTCGTCCAATATATTGATCTTTACGTCTCGACCATTTCGAGACTCTTCGTCATGTCCCTGATCTCATCCGGGACTCCGAACTACCTTTGGTACATCAAAACACATAACTCATAATATAAATCGTCACCGAACTTTAAGTGTGCGGACCCTACGGGTTCGAGAACTATGTAGACATGACCGAGACACGTCTCCGGTCAATAACCAATAGCGGAACCTGGATGCTCATATTGGTTCCCACATATTCTACGAAGATCCTTATCGGTCAAACCGCATAACTACATACATTGTTTCCTTTGTCGTCGGTATGTTACTTGCCCGAGATTCGATCGTTAGTATCTCAATACCTAGTTCAATCTCGTTACCGGCAAGTCTCTTTACTCGTTATGTAATGCATCATCCCGCAACTAATTCATTAGTCACATTGCTTGCAAGGCTTATAGTGATGTGCATTACCGAGAGGGCCCAGAGATACCTCTCCGACAATCGGAGTGACAAATCCTAATCTTGAAATATGCCAACTCAACAAGTACCTTCGGAGACACCTGTAGAGCACCTTTATAATCACCCAGTTACGTTGTGACATTTGGTAGCACACAAAGTGTTCCTCTGGTAAACGGGAGTTGCATAATCTCATAGTCATAGGAACATGTATAAGTCATGAAGAAAGCAATAGCAACATACTAAACGATCAAGTGCTAAGCTAACGGAATGGGTCAAGTCAATCACATCATTCTTCTAATGATGTGATCCCGTTAATCAAATGACAACTCATGTCTATGGCTAGGAAACACAACCATCTTTGATCAACGAGTTTGTCAGGTAGAGGCATACTAGTGACATTATGTTTGTCTATGTATTCACGCATGTACTAAGTTTTCCATTAATACAATTCTAGCATGAATAATAAACATTTATCATGATATAAGGGAAATATAAATAACAACTTTATTATTGCCTCCAGGTCATGTTTCCTTCACATCCTTCCACATACAAACAGTTCAAGGGGTTTTCACACTCTTCCTGACTGGTGGTCCACCTTGATGATGATGATGGCACAAGGAAGAGCAGAACTAACAAAGCACACCTCGACGACATTGGCGGATGTAGAATTTGATGAATGTGGGAGAAAGCAATGGCAATGTTGGTTGGATTACAAAAATGGCTAAATGTATATACATATGCACTAGTAAATGTAAATCTGCAAATTACTTGTGAGGGCCATTATCCCCATGACCTCCATACTGGATGCGCCTATGCTCGACGACGATGGTGAGGATGTGCATGACAAGCTAGCAAGACCAAAGAAAGCACACCCACCAGGAAACACCAATTGATAAATTGATAAATTGCTTTCGTTATCACTAGTGCGTTAAAAATATATATGTATAAATTGTAGTATATGCTAGTAAAGATAATAATACGAGAATTGGCAGAATAGCTGATAACATAAGATCAGTGAAAGTAAGTACAATGGGAGATAATAACTTAACTGGTTAACCACACAATGGCAACGAGGAAATGAGGTAGCCAAGAAAGGAATGATGCAAAGCATACACAAGATATACTGGAGTATGTGATGAAACTAGAAGCATGGGGGCAATGTTCAAACTAGAGTACCTCAGAAGAATGGAACAACATGGACATAAAGGTAGAAGCATGGATGTAATTATGCAACTTAGCCAGGAAAACCAGGAAGAAGAAGGCCAGTGTTTAAGTTACAATAATGCAAAACAATAGAAATATATGTTAAGACATAGTATGGCAAAATGTAGGAAGCATGAAGCTGAGGAACTCGACATTACTGATCTTTGTACGTATGATGCATATATCATTGATAATGGATAACAAACCAACTAGGTACCAACATGGGATGCATATTTTGTGTCGCCGATATACAAACTAAACTGATCATATATGTTGATCAACGGAAGCATTTCTTTTACTGACGAAAAAAAATGATTGTAATATAGAAGCACCACTGTAAGAAGCAAGGAAAAGATGAAAAAAAAGAAGCAAGGAAAAGATGCAAATGGGTACACTAGAAGTGTAATATAGAAGCTTGTGATCGACGGGAGTCGGTCGGTCTGATGAATATTTTGCTAATAAATATGTAATGTCGGGAGCCGTGCGATTCAACTAGAATCGATTGCAGTTGATCGGTGTGACGAATGCTTCTGATCAGACTACTGATTAAAAGCATTTCCCTTTTTTTTAAAGGCAATGCCCGACATGCTCGCTCTATCTGGTCGTTCCGCCCGACTCATTAGCCCTACATTTTATTTGGACGGCATTTTGCAGACGTTATTTTTCATAGTTACAGGTCTTGTTTCTACTCCCTCCGTCTGGAAATACTTGTCATCAAAATGAATAAACGGAGATGTATCTAAATATATTTAAGTTCTACATGATTTTTTTTTGCTCATTTTGATGACAAGTATTTTCGGACGGAGGGAGTACAAAACATTTCACCTTGCTTGGAACCACATCTTTTCAACCGAACACTATAGGACTCTATGGACTAGTATTTTCGAATTTCGAAAACCACCTAGAGTGAGAGTTGTGCTTGCTTGTGGGTGGGTGGATGAGCATGAATGAGCCTGGTCAAAAAAGCTCAAAGGTGGGCCCATCCTGCAGAGCCAGCCAGCCAACCATCGCTCGCCTCCTCCAAAAGCTCCAACCTTTCTCTGCTCTGCTCTGCTCTCCTTCCTTCCGAAGAACACAAGAAGACTCGCCTCCGGCCTCAGAGCGAGAGAGATAGAGGGCGGCCATGGCGGGAGAGGGGAGCAAGAAGGAGATGGAATTCGTCCTCACACAGGCCATGAGGGCCGGCAACAGTGTGAAGGCTCAGCGCGACCGCCTCCTGCAGCTCCAGCGCCGGCTGCAGCGCCTCCAGGCCGGCCCCGCCGCTCAAGACCACGACGCCAGGCTCGGGGTGCTCGCCACGGATCTCTTCAAGGTCTACTTCATCGGCCTGGAGTACGGCGCCCGCACGCTCACCACCTGCATCCGCTTCGCCCGCCAGCAGGGCGTTCTCCTCTCCCGGCCCACCATGGATTTCGCCGTCATGAACGACGAGCAGCTCCACGACGCGCTGCTCGCGCTCGCGCAGCAGTTCCCGCCCCGCCCCACCACCCGGACCCAGGCCATCGACCGCGCCATGGCCGCCCTCCTGGCCATCAAGCTGCTGGAGGAGCACCTCCTGCCGCGCTGCGTCGAGTGCCTCGTCGGCGGCAAGGCCCCCGTCCCCGGCAAGCCCCGCGACCCCTGTCCCGGCTCGGTCGCCGCCGCCACCGAGGGCCTCGCCAAGGTCGACCTCTCCGACGCCACCGACACCGCCAAGACCGGCAGCAAGCCCCGTAACGCAGACGCGGCCAGAGGAGGCGGCGGCGAGGTGGACAAGGCGCTGGACTACATGTACCGCGCAAGCAGGATCGTGAGCCTCGCCGTGAAGCACATCGACGTCGCCGTCGCAGTCCTCTCCCGCTTCCTCGACCCCAAGAAGCTCGCCAGCCTCACCGAGTTGTGCGACGACCACATCTACATCTCCGAGGTCTGTCCAAAGCCCAAACCTTCACCTTCCTCCCTAGATGTATTTAGTGTTGGTGTACCGGCATGAAAATGATGATGATGATTCCATGGATCTGATCTCACTGCCGAATCCGATTCTTTGGGTTGACTGCAGGACGGACCCTATCCATCATCCGATTGACTGTCGAGACCGAGATTCGAGGCTGTCGACCAAGCGATCCAAGGAGTAGTTCTTTAATTCATCTATGATCTCTAGCTAGTGCATCATGCAGACTTGTGGTTTCAGTTCAGTTTTGGTCAGACTTGTGGTTCCTGGACGGCCGTGGCAATCTATCTCAGCTTCATCAATTAGGGGTAAATCAATGTAGTAGTAGTAGTGTAATGCTGATCGATTTGGATCTTATCTTATCTGTGGGACGAATGATCGAATCAACTTGCAGGAGCTATCTGTATTAGCTTTATCTGTTCGTAGCTGCATCTGTGATGCCATTTTTATGTTCCTATTAGCTGCATCTTATTATCTGTGTTTCCCCAGTTCGCAATCATGTTTTCTTTTACGTGGCGTAAGAAGGCTGTATTTGGTAATCGTCCAAAATGCCTCTCTTTTTTAGCTGCATCGTCCTACATGCACAGTTTGCTTCATGTCCCTGTTTATCCAGACTCCAGAATGTTTGATAGAAGTATAGAACCAGCGCACATGATCTGGAACCTTTTCATATCAGTTGCATTGTTTTTTTCTGGAATAATTTCAGTTGCATTGCTGATCGTAGCCGAGCTAGTTCATCCATATATGCTCTCTAGTTCATTCAACCTTCTGATATCAGTGCAGTTGGCTTATATTACTCTGCTGCATGCTACGTACAAATATATGTTTGATTTTTTTTCTGGACTACCGTGGCTATCCTTAATTAGCTTCATTAGGGGGAAATGTTGTACGCAGTGTAATGTTGAACTGCATGCTATATGTGAGACAACCGAATCATATTCAAACTGCAGTTTCAGCGCATGCCAAAATTGGGATTTTGGACATGCTACTAGTATGTGTTTGATCATTTTCTGGGATGGCACTTGCTTTGATCATAGGATAGTAATCTCAATTGATCAGCGAATGTGTGCATCACCAGTTTGTTTTACGTTGTTCTCAGTGGCGTGACAGTTATCTGGTATTTTTTTCCAACCGGGCTCACAACTCCTTTCCATTAATTTTGCAATCAACGGAAATACATCAGTCTTTATCCAAGTTCATCACCCAACTCAAAACAGATAAAATCTTCTTGCGCGAAATGAGACTGAAAAGGGGGGAGCGCGTTGGCACATCACCAGGAAACCCACCGCGTGATGATCCTGGAACGGACCACCAGCCATGGGGCGAAAACCTGATGACACTTACAAGCCATCTGCTCAGAACACAAAGTATCAAAAAACAACCCAAGGTGAAACATCTATCAGACTCCAGCGACTAGGTAAAACAGTCGCAGTACAGATCACCAGCGGGCATCAAACCCCAGTGGGACGCGAGGTAGAAGCCGCCAGACGCTGATCGCGTCTAGCCAATCTGCAAACCATCTCTGTCTCCCAAGAGCAGCCTGTCTCGAGGGAAAGATCTGTCCGTCAATGCCGCAGCAGCATGCGCCAATCTCTTCACACCTGCCTGGAGCTTCACCCTGTCCTCTTCCTTCAACAAACCTGCCCAATACATCATAAAAGAGCATGCCGTGAAAACAGCCTCCAGAGGGGATCGAACGACATGCTTATCAAACGTAACTTTATTACGGAGAATCCAAATCCCCCAACATATCGCAGCAATTATCATCATATATAAATGCTTCCCACCCGGAAAGAATTTATAAAACCAAGAAAAACTTTGCCAAAGGGAGCGAGGGCAGCAAGATGCCCCTGCTGTCATGCCCAGCGTCCCCCAAACTGAACGAGCGAGCGAGCACGAGAAAAACAAATGGTTTGCCGTTTCAACATTAGTACAGAAGGAGCAAATGGGATTTCCAGGCCAATTTCTGGCACGCATGTTATCACGGGTAAGGATGGCATTTTGAAATAGTTGCCAAAGGAAAATCTTAATCTTTAGCGGGATAGATGCTTTCCACACCATTTTATAGTTAGGACCTGACAGGTTTCTCTCCAGCCACTCGTACAAGGATTTAGTGGTAAATTTTCCTTTACCACCAAGGGACCAAGAAATCTTATCTAGGGATTCATTCAACGTCAGCTTTTTAGCTTCCATGACCATCCAAGCCCATTGATCACCCAGTGTCCCAACTAATCTGCGTCTGAAGCCAATCTCATAGTTACTCGCAGCCCAGGATGCAACAATGCAATCCTGATCCTGGCAGATACTGAACAAGTCAGGAAAATGATCTTTCAATATAATGTTTTCGATCCACGGGTCATACCAGACCCTAGTAAGGTTCCCGCTCTCAATGTTAACCTTTCTACCAGCCATATACGAATCTTTGACTTTCATAATGGCTTTCCAGCAAGGGGAGTCCGAGAAGTGACTCCGGATGTTAGCTACTGTTTTGTTCCTGAAGTATCTAGCTCGAACAATACGTTGCCATAAACCATCACTCGTTTCCAGTTTCCACCACCACTTAGCGAGCAGGGCAATATTTTTTTATGAAGATCTTTAATCCCTAAACCCCCAATCCTCTTAGATCTGCAAACTCTCGTCCATTTAACCATATGATAACCATGTTTCTTATTCTTTCTCCTCCAAAAGAAACATCTGCGATGTTTGTCCAGCTTCTCAATAAAAGTTTTATTAAAGAGAAACATCGACATGAGGAAAGATGGGATCCCATCCAAACTGGATCCCAATAAGGTCAGTCTGCCCCCAAATGATGCCGCGTAAGCCACCCAGGCATCAAGCTTTTTGATCATTTTACCATCAAGGAAGTCCAGATCAACATTCCTGAGAGTGGAATAGGTAACAGGGACCCCCAGATATTTCATAGGCAGAGTCCCCACTTGGCATCCAAACATGTTCGCATAGATTAAGTCAGTATCATTATCACCCCCAATACTGAAAATTTCGCTCTTTTCAAAGTTGATCTTAAGTCCTGACATAAGCTCAAAGAAATACAACAAGAGTTTGATGTTGACAGCCTTGTCAACATCATGTTCAAAGCACAACACCGTATCATCAGCATATTGCAAGATGCCCACCCCATCCTCAATAAGATCAGCAGCTAAACCTTTGACCAGGCCATTCTTCTAAGCTACCAGCACCATTTTAGTCAGGCATTCGGCTACTAAATTGAACAGGAAGGGGGAGTGAGGATCTCCCTGTCTCACCCCCTTAGCACTTTGAATATAGGGCCCCACCTCATCATTGATCTTGACACTAACCGTGCCATTTTTTAGGATCCGAGAGACCCATCCACACCACTTGGGATTAAACCCGCGCTTTTCATGACAATCAAGCAAAAAATCCCAGTTTACTTTGTCATAAGCCTTCTCGAAATCGAGCTTGAGAACTACTCCGACTTGTTTTTTGACATGAGTATAGTGCATAATCTCATGCAAAGATAGTATACCATCCACAATATGCCTCCCTTTAATAAAGGCATTCTGCTGGATACTAAACAGCTTATGAGCATATTTGCTAGCTCTAATATCCATGGCTTTGGTGAGCAGCTTATACGGGCAGCGCAGCAGACAAATGGGCCTATACTGTTGGATTCTACTTGCATTGCATGAATTAGGTAGCAAGGTAATGATACCATAGTTAAGTCTTTGCACATCTAACTTGTCAGCGTGAAACCACTCAAATAAGCAGAACATATCCTGAGCTACAACATCCCAGCAATGTTGATAGAATTCAACAGGGATATCATCAGGTCCGGGGGCACGGTTAGACCTCATCTCAAATAGAGCATGCTTAATCTCCTCCAAAGAGAAAGGTCGAGTCAAGTCTTCGTTCTCCTCCAGGGAAATCAGCTCATCCTGGGACCATAAGGTTGCATCGATCTGGCAAATATTGCCAGGGGCTGATCCAAATAGGTCTCTGTAATACTCAGTAGCATGTGCAAGTAGGTTTTTGGTCCCTTCCACAACAGTGGACCCGCATTCCAAGGAAACCATGGAATTTTTCCTACGACGACCATTAGCCACTTTATGAAAAAAGTCAGTGTTATTGTCTCCTTTCAAAAGCCACCTTTCATTAGACATTTGGTGCCAATGGAGCTCTTCCTCAACATACATATTGTTGAGCTCCACTAAAATATCCAACTTCCTTTTATATGCATCCCCACACAACCCATCGTCCTCCTCCAGTCTCTCGAGCTCCTGAAGTTCGAGCTTGATAATATTTTTTCTGATCCTATTGTGCCCAAACAGATTGGATCCCCAACCTTTAAAAAATTTCTTAATCCTTTTCAATTTAATGTTTAAGATGTGAATAGGGTTTACAGTGTAAACCGGCCTAGACCAGATTTCAGTAACCAAAGGGAGGAAATCTGGGTTCTTGAGCCATGCATTATCAAACCTAAAGCACCTATTGCCTGGTGCTCTGGATGGGGCTCTCCCACCATCCAGCACCAAAGGATTGTGGTCAGACTTGTCCTTTACCAGTTTATGAACATTAGCTAGAGGGTATAAATCCTCCCAATCAGGGGACATAAGGACCCTATCAAGTTTTTCCAACGTAGGGTTATCTTGTTTGTTGGACCAACTGTAGCGACCACCAGCCATATGAATCTCCCTCAACCCAAGTAAGTGAATAACAGAGTTGAACACATCTGAAAAAAGGGACAGGGGCATTTTTTTGTTTTTCTCTCCACTATGTCGAATGATATTAAAATCACCACCGACCAGATATGGTATACTGACCCTGTGGCACATAGCTGACAGTTCAGCAATGAATTCAGGCTTCTGCTCATCATGCGCAGCGCCATACAGAGTCATCAAGGACCAATGACAGTTTTTGCTCTTATCGAACAAGTTCAAATGCAGTATGAATTTACCACACATAGTAGTAATGATATCAAAGCTATCCTTCTTGATACCACAGAGAATACCTCCGGATTTCCCCCTCGAAGGGGCCCATTCCCATCAAAACCTATCTTGGGGGTCAATCTTTCTAAAAAAGGTAGAGTCATAGGATTCTTTCATAGTCTCTTGCAGCCCAATAAAGTCAAGATTGTTGCCATTAATCATGTCAACAAT